CGGCAACGGTTTCGAAACAAAACATTGGCTAGAGACTGTCAGATAGGTTAATCGTACTCCAGCGTTCGAAAGGAAGTATCGCATAATGTCGGTGATCAAATAAACGGAAGGATAAATGATACTCTTTGGTTGCCAAAACTGAAGAGGGTTTTATTTGAGTACCTCACCTCTATATTTTGACCCAGAACTCTGACACAAAAGGCAGTGGAAATGTGTACGGTTGTTTCTGGGAGCCTGTCACTAGCAGCTGACTTATAAGCGCGAACCGCATGGCAGAGTTTGTTCTTGGGTGCCTTTCTCAGAGCCAATGCTTCAACAGTCTGACCCACTTGGCTGAAAGGGGCCTGCCTGTCCCGAAGATGCAGAAAGTAAGGCTTCACTATTTCACTCTTAGTGCAGCTGCATAGATCAGGTGCCTTTTGAGCGGCACCGGATTTTTTGATGTTGAAATATTTTGACCGTATTGAACAATGCGATCGGAGTGTGCTGTTCTTAGAACCAATCACTTCTAACCCGTTTTTATTTGGACAAAGCAGCATCGCTGCTTCCATAAATATGGATATGTTGGTCGCCTTGGGTAAATGTCTTGGTATCTTTAGAATCCTGTCGCAATGGACAGAAGAACCTTACCTACAGACCGCTTGGTACTACGATTACTCGTTACATGAGGGTTTGTTGTTGTTTACTCTACTTGGGCCTTCCTGGCGTGGCTGAATCTCTGAGAAATGTGCTCCAGCCAGTGTAACCCGCAGGATCATTGCAGCACAGAGGTTTGACTACCAAGATAAAGTACGTGTACATACATTAGAGATCGGAGGAGGGGCTTTATTTCGAGTATGCAGGTTGAAAATATATTAAATGGAGTGTTATTTTGTTTTATTAGAGAAAGAAGTGATGAACGCATAGGACTGTAACTGAAACGATACCGCAAAAAGGCTTAAAATAGCAGTATATAGAAATCGCATACTTTTGCGGAGTGTATATGAGTATAGGAGTCAACAAGAAAGGTGACAATGGGAGCTGTAACTGGAAACGTTCAGTGCAGAATATGGCCAACTCTCAGCTGTACCAGTTTGTCCGGGGTGAGACTTGTAGTGGTTACGGGCCCTATGGAGTCTCTGGTGAACAGAGCAACTCACTAATGTAAGCCAGATACAAAGTCACAAGGAGAAAAATACAAGTAAATCTTGACTCACAGTTCAAAATGAGATTTCGTAGTTCCGTATTCCGTTGAACCACCATAACAAGAATAATTCCATCTTCCTGGTATTCCAGATCTCCGGTGATCGAAATACTATTCCACAAATGTGAATATATTAGTCCAGCTGAAATGTTTGTTCACGTTTAGTGTTAGCAGCAGTCAATTATAGCCAACCGGCGGTCACAACAACAGTCACTCAGCAAAAGTCTCAAATCACGTTGGAGCCAACGAGCGGGCGGTCGCGGTTATATTTCAGTAAAACAAACTTTTGTATAGCGATGCGACTGATAATGATGGGAAAAAAGAAGATGATACTGAGCATGAAAAAGAGCAGTTTACAAGTGCTACAGACTACATGGGTGAAGTACCCCGATTCACAAAGAATATGGCTTGGCGTACACAGGTGGAAATGAATAGTGTTTTACTGTGACTAGGTTAGCAATTGCTAGTAAATATAGACGGTTACTTTCAAGTCTCAGACGTTCACTCGCTTACTGGAGAAAGCTGTTTGTAGCTACATTAATGATTATCTTCACATGAAATTTGGTAGAGTACGAAACTTGATCCACTTTCAAAGCATTAGGGGGTGATATTAGAAACTTGAAGGAATTCAACACACAGCGGCCAGGATCATTCCCAAATCGTCAGAAGGGTCAAACGTTGACACACATTCTACTACATGCTCGTGCATTTTGAAGTACAGAAGAATAAACGTGATCCCTGTTTTTGGTATATGGGCAAATTGATAAGCACTGAATCATTCTTCTCACGTGCTCGAGTATACCATATGAAGGAACACCGGTATAAGCTAGAGGAGCATACGGTAGGAAAAGCCCCCGTTTTTCAGATCTCCCACTGGATATATATATATGTATATATATAGTGAGTAGATAGATAATGTAGCCGAAGCAAACACGACATAAAAATT